TTCGTAAGGGCCATTGATCCCCCTGCACTTCAGGCAGATAAAATCACTTGGAAGAGTGACTCACCTGTCTGGATCGATCTAACAAGCTAGCCGCAGCTATAGCGTTAGTGCAGGAACAATTAGCTGCCGGACACATAGAGCCCTCTACTTCACCATGGAACACCCCCATTTTTGTCATTCAAAAAAGGACTGGCAAGTGGCGGCTGCTACAAGACTTACGGGCTGTTAATCAAACAATGGTTCCCATGGGAGCACTCCAGCCTGGTTTGCCTCCGCCCCGTAGCTATCCCCAGAGGCTACTATAAGATAGTCATTGACCTGAAAGACTGCTTTTTCTCCATACCATTGCACCCAGATGACTGCAAACGCTTTGCATTCAGTCTCCCGGTAGTAAACTGTATAGGGCCCTCCCCAAGTTTCCAATGGTGAGTATTGCCTCAAGGCATGGCCAACAGCCCTACCCTTTGCCAAAAATATGTAGCTCAGACAATTGATTCTTTTAGAACTCAACATCCTCAAATATATATAATTCATTATATGGATGACATTCTTTTTGCCGGAGCCGATGAGGCAACCTTACATCAAGTTACCATGCAGGTTGTCTCAGCCTTACAAGCTCGAGGCCTCCGCTTGTCCCCTGAAAAGATTCAGGTCTGCCCCCCTCACCTGTTCCTAGGCTTTGAATTGTTCTCCAATAAGGTCCTCTCCCAAAAGGTGCAAATCAGAAAGGACTCTCTTTAATGCCTTAATGATTTTCAGCGCCTTCTGGGTGACATTAATTGGCTTCACCCATATTTAAAACTCACCACAGGACAGTTAAAACCCCTATTTGACATCCTGCAGGGAGATGCCAATCCAACCTCTCCCCGCTCCCTAACTAAAGAAGGGCAGCAAGCACTCGATTTAGTCGAGCAGGCCATAAATGCCCAGGCCATTGGCTACTTCTCCCCCGATTCCCCCTTGTACTTCATTGTCCTCCCCACCCCCTTTTCGCCCACGGGACTCTTTTGGCAAGGCAAACCTCTTTTTTGGGTTCACCTATCGGCTTCCTCCCCTAAAGTCCTTCCCACTTACCCTTACTTAGTAGCTAAGATTATTCGCTTGGGGCGAGAAAACTCCCTTAAGCTCTTTGGAAAAGATCCGGATGTCATAATACTCCCTTATAATGCTTCTCAAATTCAGTGGCTAATACAAAATGATGATGACTGGGCGGTTAACTGTACGTCTTTCCAGGGCAAACTAGATAATCATTACCCCCCTGATAAACTAATTCAGTTCCTCTATCGGACACCTGTAATATTTCCCAAAAAAACAAGAGTCTCCCCCATTCCCAGAGCCGTCTTAGTCTTTACCGATGGATCCTCCTCGGGCACCGCGGCCTATAGCATTAATGGCCAGGTCCGCAGTTTTCCCACCAGGTTCTCCTCCGCTCAACTCGTTGAGTTAGCAGCCTTAGTCACAGTCTTCAAACACGTAGATCAGTCGCCATTTAACTTGTATACTGATAGTTCTTATGTTGCTCATGCTGTTGCCACCTTAGAAACTGTGCTTCATATTCGGCCCTCCAACAATACTACTCAAATGTTCCAGCAACTACAAAGACTCATTCACTCCTGTTCTGCGCCCTTTTTCATAGGCCATATTCGCGCCCACAGTGGCCTTCCTGGGCCTCTAGTCGCTGGAAATAATCTTGTTGATCAGGCAACCCGCGTTGCAGGCGTAGTCCACACTGTCACTGTTGATCCTGTCTGCACTGCACATCAAGCTCATGATTTAAACCATCTCAACGCCCATACCCTCAGGCTTAAATTCTCCATTACTAGAGAACAAGCCAGAGAAATCGTCCGCCAATGCAGGGCTTGTTTTACCCTTCTCCCTGAGCCACACCTAGGAGTCAACCCTCCTGGCCTGATCCCTGGGGAGCTCTGGCAAATGGATGTCACTCATTACCCTCCTTTTGGAAAGCTTAAATATGTACATGTCTCTGTAGACACTTGCAGTGGATTTATCTTTGCTTCCCTACAAACAGGCGAAGCCAGCC